GTGTATCTCCTCTATTTTATTCAGTCTATCTATGGAAAAATGGACTGTCATTAGGATGGTTTACAGTAAGAATCCTCAATTATGTCAATCACCACATTATGTATTTTAACATACTGGTGCTTCTGAAAGTATACATTAACATATAAAGAAACTATTATATTTTCTTGATATTAGATACTTTAAATAAAAGAGATGTTGCCTCGCCTTCATGGGATTACACTCTCCCTAAAAGACCAGATTCCTAATTTGAGAGTGGTTTTTGTTTGTTTGTTTGTTTGTTTTCATTTTGACACTCTAGTTTGAACAGCAAATATTTGCTGTGGCTAGATCAGCCTTTTTCCAACTTTGATGGATCACCCAGCTGCACTCCTATCTGGACTGGATATCCCTGAGAGCACTGGTTCATGCATTGGTAGTCTCAAACATCAGTTAGTGCAATGCTCTCTATGAGGGGCTACTATTCAAGCAGGTCCAGAATCCAGCAGCCAGATTGATCACTAGGGCAAATAGGTTTGATCCCATTTCTCTGATCATTGCTCACTATCACTGGCTCCCTGTTAGTTTCCATGCCAAATGTGTTAGTGTTGACATATAAAACCTGAAATGGTTTGGGACCTCAGTATCTCACCAATTCCTCCCAGTCCTTGCTTCTTAAAGCAAGAATGACAAATAGGAATTGGGCCCTCTCGGTGGTGGCTCTATCCTTGTAGAATGCCCCTTCCATCAGATGTATGCCAGTACTCATCTCTCCTTACTTTCAGAAAGCTTGTTAAAGCAGAACTTTATAAAGAGGACTTTGAACATATACTTTCCCTGTGGTAGGAATGTACTATTTGAATTTTGGAGGCTAATTTGACATCACCACATGATTTTGTTATGCTCAGTGCTGTTTATATTATTTTGTTATTTTATACTGTCATTGGGGCTTGTTGATGCTGTTGTGGATTTAATTTCCTTGGTGTTCACTGCCCAGAGTAGTGGGTTTCCACTAAGCTGGGTAGTATATACATCAAATAAAGAAAGAAACAGTATATTTCAAAATCCCTTACAGTAAAAAGCAGTAGTAACAACAGCAACAGCAGTTGTTGCTGAGTACAGCTTCATTAACAAGGAAACCTTAAATGTACATTTAACTAGTTCAGAATTCATGAAGTACTTAGGACAATAAAAGCTTCCAAGTGAGTAATTCTTTCACTGATACGAGGTTTTGCATCCCATATTGCTTCATTGCTTGGACTTTACAATGGCCCACATTTCTATAAGTTATATTATTCTCCAGGCTATGCACAGGAGGCAACAAAGTGTGAAAAAAGTAACAAATGCATCCTGTGTGTCAACACTGTTAGACTGCAATCAGAACAATGTTCCCATGTGCACTTATATGAGGTGGAACCAATTGTGTTTTATGCCCTGCAGGAAGTTTCGAACTAGACTTAGAATTATAGTTACTGATTATTTTTTTTGTAGTTTCAATACTAAATAGCATTAAGAGATTTCTCTCCCAAACATCTATGCATAAATCCTAAATGCCATGTAAACCTCTGGCTTTCTGCAGTAAAAGTATGCCACCCAGCAGCTCAATATTAATTCCTTAAATTGAGAGGCTGGATAGTTTAAATGAATTACAGAGCAATCCCATACATCTCTACTCAAAAGTAAGTTCCATCAATTTAAATGGGACTGCCTTAGGTTAATGTGTCAATCCAGATGATCTATTTAGCAAGCAATTAAAAATTGTTGTGAAACATCCAGCATATCACATGCTTTTCCTCACCTCTGTAAGTTTATTACTTGTTTTATGGTTGGCCACTGGAAGATAAAACATGAATTTGTATGCAAGGCTGATTGCTGAGATGTGCCTGTCTGAGGAATCAGGCCACTGGGGGAAAAAGGCTGGTAATCGTAAGAAACACATATTTCCTTTACCATCCAGTTTGACCATAAGAATCAATCTGAAATGTTTATCCAAGCTATGTTTGAGAAAGTCTATGTTTTGTTTTGTTTTGTTTACCATGGAGTCGTGAGGTAGGATAAGAGAGCTATTGCCCCTCACCTGCAGCATCACTTCTATGAATATGTTAAGGTATTCCATGTATGCTCATCATTAGGTGGCCAAAACAGCACCATCCTCACACATAGAAGTGTACTGTGTAGGCCTATTCAATTTCAGGTTGTGAATTATTTGTGAATTCCTGGTCATGTGTCTCATGATAATTTACTTCTTGGTACAACTGGCATTCTAGTGTCTGACTTGTTGCCAGCGTCCTATGAAGATATCTGAAAGTTAGAAAAGCAATTTGACAGGCAAAGCCATGCATCAAATCATCAGTAACAGAACCCTTCTTTAGGACAGTAATAGTATAATTAGTCATCTTCATTTGGATGTGGGTTGATGGGTTTTTGTCTGAGCTCTTCTTGCCCATTCACAGGATGATATGGGATAAAAAGAGAACTCACCCTCCAAATTAAGAAAGGTAGAAGAAGCATTTGAAACTCTTTCATGTAGGGAAGAGAGGATTATCTTGCTTCACAGGATAGATTAGTAAAGGTTTTTCTTCTGTGCTTTATTTACAGTTTTAAAAAGTTTCACAGGCTGCAAGACTCTGCTGGAATCTCATGAGATTTGTGAAGGTTGAGAGAGAGAGATGAACCCTCATCCCAGGCCTGATCGCAAACTTTTCCCTGTTGTGCTATAGTACAGATGAGCAAATAACAATCCCAGGACAGCAGCTCCTAAACTCTGGAAAAAAAAATTTAATTGCAGATATGTCCCATAGAACAGTGGTCCCCAACCTTGGGCCTCCAGATGTTATTGAACTTCAACTCTCAGAAATCCTGGCCAGTAGAGGTGGTGGTGAAGGCTTCTGGGAGTTGTAGACAAAGAACATCTGGAGGCCCAAGGTTGGGGACCACTGCCATAGAAGCTTTAGAGGTATCATTTGCCCTTTGAACCTAACCCCAAATCCTGTTTACAGACATTAGGAAAAATAAATATATAATTATTTGGAGGATGGGGCAGGGTATTGGGTTCCTCCAAGGCTCAGAGGTTGGAAATATGATAACCAGACTCTTGGAGGTTGTCCATTCCTGTAAAGATGTCTCATTACGAGCATGTGTGCCAACCTCAAATATGAGTATTTTGTTTATGCAAATTTCCACATGTCCCATTTTCCCCTACCCCCAAAAAAACCTTGAAACTATTATGCCCATTCTAATCACCTTCTACTTTTCTGAGTCAACACTCTTAACATATTATGTATCAATTGTCCTTAATACTCTGTATGTCAAAAAAGCCTCTCAGAATGGCTGCTAAACTGGCATGCTTATTTATGGTATAAAAAGGACAAAGA